GGGCACAACCGCTTCCTAAACAGGCAGCCAGCCCACGATAGCTGGAGGCGTGTTGGGTCTCTGAGGAGAGCGCTGGATGACTCCGAGAGTTTGGAGCCTTATGTGTTAATACCAAGTGACGTGGAGAATTAACAAGAGCCGCTAAAAAAGTTGACTACTAGGGGCCAAAGCCTCAAGTCCCCCCGTTAAGTAGGATGGGCTTTCTGTTAGGGGTGGCTTGTTTTTAGCAGTGCTGTCTAGCCAACAGGAGTTGGGCTCTTCATTTCCTCTTGTAGCCTGTTTTGTTTTTTAAATATTTTTTAATGTGTATTTATTTCTGAGAGAGGGAGAGAGACAGAACGTGAGTGGGGGAGGGGCAGAGAGCGAGAGGGAGACACAGAATCTGAAGCAGGCTCCAGGCTCCCAGCCGTCCACACAGAGCCCGACGTGGGGCTTGGACCCACCAACCGTGGGATCGTGACCTGTTGGATGCTCAACCGCCTGAGCCACCCAGGCGCCCCGTTTTGTAGCCTGTTTTGATTGTTTCATGTTGATGTCCTGTGATGTCTCTCTCTCTCTCTCTCTCTCTCTCTCTCTCTCTCTCTCTTTCTCTCTTCTATCAGTACAGGTAAAGTTCCAGTGACTGGTCAAAGTGGTTACCATACTTCATTTTGTTCCTTCCTGTTCTAAGTTCCTGGTCCCATGCCCAGATTTGGCTTTCTTCTTATGCCTGACATACAGGGATATGGATCCACACCTTGTTATTTAGGATAGTCCAGAAAGCATGGTCTTTCCACTCTATAGCCAAGTGTTGGAGAAATGTTCTCTTCACAGTTGTATTTTAAGTGACTCAAGGTGTTATAACAGGGATAGCTGTTATATGATAACATGATTTCATATGGAATACATATATATAAAAATGGGATACATATATATATATGGATACATATATATATGGGATACATACATATATATGGGATACATATACATATATGGGATACATATATATATATGGGATACATATATATATGGGATACATATATATATGGGATACATATATATATATGGGATACACACATATATATATATATATATATATATGGGATACATATATATGTATGTATATCTCCCCCTTATATATATGGGATACATATATATATGGGATACATATACATATGGGATACATATATATGTGTGTATATATATATACATACACATGGGATATATAGGGATAGATAATGATAACATTAGCTGCTTATACAAAGGCTTAACTCTCTAAATCAATGGAACATGAACAAGTCAGCATTTTAAAATGAGGATTTAAAACCAATAGTAATGCATGTTAAATGTAAAAAGATATCTAAAAAACATAAAGCACAAAGAAGGCAATACATTTTGGTATGTATATTCTTATATTCCCCCTCCCTCAAATTGCACAGAAATATTTTTTAGTAATGTCATTTTTATTTTATTATTTATTTATTTATTTAATGTTTCTTTATTTTTGAGAGAGAAAGGGAGAGATCATGAGTGGGGGAGAGGCGGGGGTGGTGGGAACAGAGGATCTGAAATGGACTCTGTGCTGAGATCAGAGAGCCCAATGAGGGGCTCGAATTCGTGAACTGTGAGATCGTGACCTGAGTCAAAGTAGGATGCTTAAGTGACTGAGCCACAGGGGTGCCCCAGTAATGTCAGTTTTAATGGTCAGTTAGTACTCCATTCTAAAAAAGTGTAATGTATTTGGGGGTGGTATACATTGTCAAATAACCTTCAGAGAGTGTTTATCTGAGTGCCCTCACATCCTCATTAACACTGAATATAATAACTTTAAAAATCGTATTTGCCAGTCTGGTAGGCAAGAGAATTCTGTTTTTGTGCTATTTATATTTCTTGGGTAAATGTTTCTTATATTTTTATTAACCATTTGTGCTTAGCCCTTGTGAATTGCATATTCATGTCATTTGCTCATTTAAAATTTATAGTGCTTATTTTTTCCCATTGATTTGTATGAAGCTTTTTTGTGCAGATAATTACCCCTTTTCTGTAATGTATTGGCAAATGTTTCCCTAAATCATCATTTGCTTTAAAAAATATTTAAAAATTCTGTTAGTGTTTGAACAGCTTCATTGAGGTATAATCGACATATACTAAGTTACACGTATTTATAGTGTCCAATTTGATGTTTAAACACATGTATGCTTTTATGAAACCATCACCATAATAAAGATAAGGAGCATATGCCCCCATGTTTCATTGTGCCTGTTTAATTTCTCTCCCCCTTCCCTCTCTGCCTTCAATCCCTATTCCCAGGCAACCATTGATCTGCTTTCTGTTGACATCAGCTAATTTGCAAGATCCAGAATGTCATACAAACGGAATCCTATAGGATGTATGATTCGTTTTCCCTGGATTCTTTCTTCTCATCTGGCTTCTTTCTCTTAGTATAGTTACTTTTATATTCATCTATGTTGTTGTGTATATCAATAGCTCATTCCCTTTCATTGCTGGATGGTGTTATCTTGCATAGATAAGTTGTTTATCCTCACTTGTTGACAACCATTTGGACTATTTCCTCTCTTTTGTTACTACAATAAAAACTGCGGTGACGGGGGCGCCACAGTGGCTCCATCTTCGGCTCAGGTCATGATCTCGCGGTTTGTGGGTTCGAGCCCCTGCATCGGGCCCTGTGCTGATGGCTCGGAGCCTGGAGCCTGCTTAGGATTCTGTGTCTCCCTCACTCTCTGCCCCTCCCCCGCTCCCACTCTGTCTCTGTCCCTCTCAAAAATAAACGTTAAAAGAAAATTTATAAAAACAAAACAAAACTGCTGTGACCTTCCGGGTACAGTCTTTGTAGGGGCATAAGCTTCTGTATGTAAATACCTAGGAATGGAATGGCTAGATCACATGGCATGTTTCACTTAAAAAACAAAAAAATCGCCAAACTATTCTACAATTTCCACCGGTAGTGTATGAGAGTTCTAGATGCTTCTTCCCCTAACCGACATGTGGTAGGATCAGTCTTTTTAATATTTAAATTGTATTTCCTCAGTGATGCATAATGTCGAAACATCTTTCCATATGCTTGTTTTCAGTCTGTATACCTTCTTTGGCACTTCATCGTATCAATTTTTGAGAGTTTAAAAATAAAATAAAATTAAAAAAAATTATTCTGCATTCAAGTTTTTATCAAAAATGTATCTTGCAACGATTTTCTCCCCGTACTGTGGGATTGTCTTTCCATTCTCCACGGAAATGCCTTTGTACTTCCATTAAAAAGCAGATGTCCATATGCGCGTGGACCTGTTTCTGGACTTCATACTCTGTGGCATTGTCCTATTTACGTATCTTGGCGCCAGTATTTCACCATCTTGAGAAGTCTCAAAATCAGTGTTTGTCCTGAGAATCTGTTCTCCTTTCTCAAATTTGTTGTGTTTTCATAGGAACTTTAGAATGAGTTTGCCAGTTTTTACAGAAAAAGCCTGATTAGGATTGTGTAGTGGGTCAATATGGGAGAGAATTGACATTTTAACAACCTTGAGCTTACCAATCCATAAAATGGTATATCTCTCCATTTTTTAAGGCTTTTATAAAATTACTTGCAGCATGTGGGCTTTTATTTTAAATCTATTTTTCCTTTGTAATAGTTTCAGAGATACAGAAAAATTGTGAAGACAGTACAGAGATTTGCCATGCCCCATGGCAGGTTCTCCTAACATTAATATCTTCAGTAAGTATGAAACATTTTGTAACACTTAATAAACCAATACTGATACATTATTAGTAACTAAAGCCCATATTTTACTCATCTTTCCTTAGTTTTTAACCTGATGTGCCTTTTATATGAGATCTCTTCTAGAGAGGCAAGTTGTCTTGTCTCTTGAGGCACCTCTTAGCCATGATAATTTCGCGGACTTTCCTTGTTTTTGATGATCTTGATAGTTTTGAAGCGTGCTGGTCGGTTACTTTGAAGCAAGTCCCTCAGGAGGGATTTGTCTGATGTTTTTCTCATGATGAGACTGGGCTTACTGGTTTTGGGAGGATGGCCACAGAGGTAAAGTGTCATTTTCATCACATTTATCACATTTCATTACATTTCATCACGTTTATCTCATCACATCACACGAAGGGTATACTCTGTCAGCCTGACTTATCACTGTTGATGTGAATATCGATCACCTGGTTGAGGCTGTGTTTTTCAGGTTTTTCTACTGTGAAGTTATTTTTTCCTTCTTTACGTACTTTTTGTACTTTAAGTACTTTACGTACTTCTCACGTACTTTTTCCTTCTTTACGTACTCTTTGTAAAAAAGTTGTCACGCATGTCTCATACTCCTTAAGGAGTGAAGAGTTATATTCCACTTGAGGGCAGAGCATGTAGATTTTTAATGTACAGATATTTTATTTTTGTCCTATTTTCCTCTTTTTTGTATTTTTGATGTTATTTTAAGTGGGATTGTTTAAAAAGTTTTACTTTGTTATTAGGGTTTAGATACACAGTTGATCTTTGCATGTGGATCTTGCAATGTTGCTAATCTTGCTTGTTTCAGTAGCTTTTTGTAGATCCCACTGAATTTTTTAAAAAAGAATATTTATTTATTTAGAGAAGGGTGGCAGGGAGAGAGCAAGAGAGAGAATCCCAAGCAGGGTCCACACTCAGTGTAGAACCTGAGATGGGGCTCAATCTTACAACCATGAGATCATGACTGGAGCAGAAATCAAGAGTCAGATGCTTAACCAACAGACACATCCAAGCACCTCAGATCCCATTAGGTTTTCTTTCTAGACAATTAGTTTGTCTGCAAATAAAAATAATTTAATTTCTTTCTTTTCAACCTCTGTGCCTTTATTTCTTTTTCATGCCTTATCACATTGGCTGGAATCTGTAGTTCACTGTTGAATAGAAGCAGAGAGAACAGAAATCTTTATCATGTTCCTGATATTATGAGGAAGACATTTAGTTTTTACTGTTAAATATGTCATCTGCAAGATTTTTATAAATATTCTTTATAAGGTTAAGGAAATTCCTTTGTATTCTTTGTTTCCTGAGGTTTTTTTTTAAAATCAGGAATATATATTGGATCTTTTTTCAAATGTTTTATCTTTATTGAGATGACTTTATGCTTTTTAGTTGAAAATTTGTTAATATGATGGATTACATAGATTACATAGATTGATTTTCAAATGTTGAACCAACTTTGCCTTCCTGGGATACACTGCCCCAATGTATTATCTATCCTTCCATTACATTGTTTGATTCAATTTGCCAAACTTTTATTTAGAATTTTTATATCTGTGTTCATGAGAAATACTGACCTGACTTTTCTTTACTTGCAATGTCTTTGGTTTAATAGCCACATGACATTGGTTTTATCTGATACATTTTGAAGTATTTTCTCCTCAGTCTCTGAAAGAACTTGTGTAGAATTGATATTATTTCTTTCTAAAATGTTTGGTAGAATTTACTATCCAATCCTGACGATGAGCACCCAGTTATCAATGTCGGGTTATGCATCCAGTCATCACCCAACATCAATTCTCTTCCTGGGCGAATCAACCCCTGTTGCCTGTTTCTTAGGGTCTGCTCTGTCTATTTGATAATGGAGTCACGAGCCTGTAGTCTCTGGAGTGGGATTAGCTCCTGGCATCAGAATCAGAGTTGTGATTTGGTCTCTTAGTAACCATTTCTCTTTCTTTTCTTTTTCTTTCTCGTCTTTCTTCTTTTCCTTTCTTTTTGCTTTTTTAATATTTTTTACCATATGTAAGTGTACACTCCAGCAACATGAAGCACATTCACATTCTTGCACAACCACCACCCCGATTTGCCTCTAGAACTCCCATCTTCCCAAACTGAACATCCGGACCCATGCAACAACTCTTCACTCTCCCCCCGCCCGCCCCACCCCCGCCTCCCCGTCCCGCCCCGACCCATTCTATTTTATGTCTCTACTAATCTTACCACTGTGGGGTACCTCATATAAGTGGAATCCTAGAGTATTTGTCCTATTGTGTCTGGCTGATTTCACTGAGCATAATGTCTTCAAGGTTTAGCCACATCGTTTAGCACGTGTCACAATTTCCTTTTTTTTTTTTTTTTTTTTTTATGGTTCAGTGATAGTCCGTTGTGTGTATTTGAGCAAAGAAGCGGAGTCTGAAAGTCAGTAGAGCTGAGTCACAAGAATGTAACCCACAAGGAAAGGTTCGGTGCATTCCTGCTCCCTGTGCTCCTGGAGTTTATCTCTCCTAAGGCTTGGCTCCTTAATTCTTACGAATGATTAAGAATTCAGTGTTTCCCAGTACAATTCTTCCCCACTCCCTTTAAGGAGCTAACCCAAATCGGTTGTTCATAATAGAAGAGTCTTAACTGCTGTGGCCCAGGATGTGTTTCATCCGGGAAATAGAGCGATCATCGTTGAGCTAGTCCCATTGTTTCTTCATGGCGGAGAGTGGCCAGATTCATATAGATGATTCATACCTGAAGTGGCTCTGTAAATTGAATTCATGGTTCAATACACAAGGGCTTTAAATAAGCCTGAGAGACCACACTGCCATAGGACATTACTCATGAAAAAATATCTTGAGATGCAAAGTCCTATTCATTCTATGATGGCTGGACACTAAACATTTAGAAGTGGAATAAAAACACTGAGATCCTAACATGGAAGATCTTCAAAAGAATTATTTCTCTTTAAAAGAATTCTGAGAATCCGAAAAACATTGAGCAAAAGGATTTCAAAAAGATATCATTAGAGAAGAAAGACTCCGAAGAGAAAAGAGGCCAACAGAGGACACGAAACTATGCTGAGTGTATTGGGTTTATTGAACGGGCTGAACTCTGTGGGGTCCAAACGGGAAACGACTTGTATCTCCTCCAGCACTGCCATCAGACCAGCTCTGCGTTGTGCTTCCTGCCCCTTGACAGTGTCTCCTGCGGGGCCTGCAGCATTTAGATTGCTTTCGGTAATAAAAACAAGTCTTATTTGACAGTTGCAAACTAGTTTCACAACGAGAAAGACCAGCCCCAACCTCCACATCCTGCTGTTTTACCATGTGTCCCAATCCCAGGCTGATCTGTGGTTGGGGAGTAGATGAGTTTGCTCGGGCTTCCGTAGCAAAGTGCTGCGTGCTGGGTGGTTTCAACAACAGAAATTCGTTTTCTCAAAATTCTGGAGGCTAAGAGGCTTGAGATCAAGATGTCAAGTTTCCTCTGAGCCCTCTCTCCTCGGCTTGCAAGCGGCCGTCCTTTCCCTGGGTCCTCACATGGTCCTCTGTCTGCACGAGTCTGTCTTAATCTCCATAGGACACAAATCATTGGATTACGGCCCACTGATCATTTTATGTTTTAACTTAATGAGCCCTTTAAAGGCCCTATCTCCAAATACAGTCATGTTCTGGGATGCTGGGGGTTGAACTTCAACATACGAGTTTTGGGGGGGACACAATTCATAACAGGACAGACCTCAAACAGGACCTATGGAAGGAGCATAGTCATTTTTTTCTTCTTTCCATTTCCTTTTGTCTCTCTTGTTTTTAGGATCACAGGGGTAAAAATGGGGTGGGGCAGGAAGGTTTGAGGAAAGGATCAAAAGGCATTTTAAAATTTAATTATTGGAGTGCCTGGGTGGCGCTGTCGGTTAAGCGTCCGACTTCAGCCAGGTCACGATCTCGCGGTCCGTGAGTTCGAGCCCCGCGTCGGGCTCTGGGCTGATGGCTCGGAGCCTGGAGCCTGTTTCCGATTCTGTGTCTCCCTCTCTCTCTGCCCCTCCCCTGTTCACGCTCTGTCTCTCTCTGTCTCAAAAATAAATAAAAACGTTGAAAAAAATTTTTTTTAAATTTAATTACTACAACTTGCTCTTGGCTAACCCTGGCTTACAACAGTGTCAGGCTTTGTCCAAATTCTGGCTCTTCAGGGGGCTCAGGTGTGGCTTCTTCAGAGACCAGGAACTGAGGCAGGAGACTGAGATGGGGAGGAAACCCGGCTTCCTGTTAAAGTCTGTACACTTAGTATTTGATCTTTCTTTTTCTTTAGAGAGACAAAGCGCGAGCAAAAAAGCAGGGCAGGGGCAGAGGGAGAGAGAGCGCTGGGCCCAAGGTGGAGCCCAATGCAGAGCTCAGCTCAGAGCTTGATTCCTTGACCGTGAGATCATGACCTGAGCCGAAATCAAGAGGCAGTTGCTTAACCGACTGAGCCACCCAGATGACCCTGGTATATGATTTTATATTTGCCATAAGTTAAATCTCATTCTTTATTCTGAAGGTTCATGTACAGGGGGCATGTTAGGATGTCCAATAACCTTTGCCTAAATGTACTAAGAAAGAAAGCTGCTAATGGAATTAGGCTTTCCCAGACATACAACCCTCAGTCTAGTGTCCCCATGAGTCCAGACCGGCTCCTTCTTTGGACCTTTTACTCACAAGAACACTTAGCACAATAGCACTCAGGCCTGCCTGTGACTGGTCACCACTTCCCAATCTCCCAAATGCCACACAGTTTCTCGGACAACATACGGTTTTCTGCCTGCCACCGTATCTCCCTGTGCCTTGCCTACTGCATCGCCCTGTGCCTTGCCTACTGCCCCGGCCTTTGAACCTACGTTACCTGAATGCCCCACATCTCACCAGACTGCAGATGTGAAAGAAGTCACTTGAAAACTGACACCTGGGGGCACCTGGGCGACTCAGTTGGTTAAACGTCTGATTTTGGCTCAGGGCATGATCTTGCAGTCCATGAGTTTGAGCCCCAAGTCAGGCTCTGGGCTGGCAGCTCAGAGCCTGAAGCCTGCTTTGGATTTTGTGTCTCCTTCCCTCTCTCTCTGCCCTTCCCCTGCTCGTGCTCTGTCTCTCAATAATAAATAAAATGTTAAAAAAAAAATAAAAATGAAACCGACACCCGGATCTTGCTAACTCCCTATCTCTGACATGCTGACGCGACACTTCAGCTTCCTCAGATTCTTCCCTAGTTATTTCGGGAGTCCCCAGCGTTCCCCCACGTCCTTAAGAACTGGTCTGCTTCTCTGTCTCTGGTGGCGACCCAGGGCCACGCTTGGAACCGGCCCCTGTTTCTGGCACTGCCAGAACAATGCAGGGTCACCGGCTGTCACTTGCAGGCCACCTGGTGTCAAGACCGCCCGGTGGAGGGGGGCACGGTGAAGATACAGCTGGAGGAATTGTCTTTTTTCCCCACTTTGGGTAGTGGGAATTCATCAATAGACATATCTGCCATCTCGGCTGCACATTGGAATGGCCTGGGAAACTTGACGAACGCTGATGCCCGGGCCCCGAGATCAGCATTCTGATTGCATCGGTGGAAGGTATAGCCCAGATCTGGGGGGTTTTAGGGACGCCCCAGATTCTCACATGGTTAGGATTGAGACCCACTGTCTTGCTACCATGGTTACGGTTTGCAGACCTGCAGCACGGGTGGTCCCTAGGAGTATGTAGAAACGCAGAATCTCGAGTCTCACCCTGACCCACTGAATCAGAATCTGTGTGCTCCCACGCTCCCAGGATTTGTACACACAAGAACGTTTCAGAAGCATTGGCCTCAGCTACCTCCAAAATTATAAATTAGCTGACAGTGGTCAGGTGAGTTCTGCTAAAGTAGCATATGCGTCCTCTTAATTTTCTTTAATTTGAGAGAGAGAGAGAGAGAGTGCTTGTGCACGTGGGGGAGGGGCAGAGGGAGAGAAAGAGAGAGAATCTCAAGCAGACTCCACGCTCAGGATGGAGCCCAGCTCAGGGCTCAATCCCACGACCCTGGGATCATAACCTGAGCCAAAGTCAAGAGTTAGACGCTCAACCCACTGAGCCACCCAAGTGCTGGTGCATTCTCTTAATCTTAACGTGCTTAATGTGCTTCTAATGTGCTTCTTAAGTTGAAGGCATCACCTGGGTTGCTCCCATCAGGAAGCGTGGCATTCCTGAGGTTTCTCTGGGTCCCCTGACTCTGCAAACTTCCAGACTTGCAGTCTGAAATGTTTCCGCTTCCCCCTCGCCCCCACCCCCCATTCATATATCGATGTCCTAACCCCCAGAGCCTCAGAATGTGACTGGGGAGATAAGGTCTGTAAAGAAGTGATTAAGTTAAGATGAGGTCATTAGTCATTAATCTAATATGCTTGTGTCCTTGTGAAATGAGAAAGAGGGAGACACACAGGGATGCACACACAGAGGAAGGACCGTGAGGACACAGAAGGCGGCCACCTACAAGCCAAGGAGGGACGCCTCGGCAGAAGGCCAGGCATGCCGGCACCTTGATCTCGGACATCCAGCCTCCGGAGCTGTGGGAAAAGAAATGTCTCTTGTTTAATCCACACCATCTGTGGTGCTTTGTGAAGGCAGCCCGAGCAATGTAACACAGGGCTCCTCAGGGCTTTACAAACTCCGTCCGGCTGCAGAGCTCACTTGCATGCCATCCAACACGCTTGATCCCTACAGATCCCTGACAGTCTGTGCCTTGGGCCCGACTGCTTTCTGCTCACAAAGACTTTCAAGAAAACAGCTGCTGGCTTTTCTGATTTTGCTCCGGGATGGATCCGAATCAGCCCCGTGGGACCAGGCGGGAGCAGATTTAATGCTGCCTCCTCTTTCGTCCACGTCTCTCCCCAGGATAGACCCACTCGCAAAGACATCTTCCCTCTTCCTCTAGCCAGTCTGGGAAAACAAGAGCACTGTGTGTGTGTGTGTGTGTGTGTGTGTGTGGTGCTGGCTGCTGTCATTTGGCTCCATTGCTGCCCTTCTGTGTTCTTTTCTATTTTGCAGGGGGCCAGGAGTCCAACAACTGCATTTCTCAGACTCCCCTGCGAGCTGTTTACCGGGGAAGCCCTGTCAGCAGGAGGCACCAGTGGGAAACCAGAAGAGGAGCCTCTCCCTGTGTGTGGCACTGGAAGCAGCAGCCGGAGCTGGTGATAACGGCTTCCAACAACGTCACTGCGGTCAAAGCAGCGACAGAGTTCCAGAAACCACAGCAGCAGCTCCAGTCCAGGTAGCAGATTCCTGATCTCTGGACGATCCCCGTCCTCATCCCATTTTTACCTTCTCCAGTTTGGCCAACACGTTTGTAACCGATTCGCCGCATCGCATCCTGTTTTACTCCGTCCAGAGTGGCTTCTGTTTTCCTGTCTTGATATTGACTGATACAATACGCAAATTGTCCGATGCAAACAGACCCTGATCAGGGTGCATGGGGTGCGGGGTGTAGTGAGGAGGGGTCACTGGCTTCTAAAGCTAATCTCTGTTCTACTCAACCCTGAGCACTTTGACCACTTTTATGGCGCAAGTGTGACCCTTGTCACCACCAGCCACTCAAGCTGGTTCTTTTTTGTTTTTTTAAGAGTTTATTTTTAAGTAGTCTCCACATCAGGTTGGCCCTTTGTGTTTTGAATTTGACCCCCTAGTAACTGTCCCTTGGCTCCACCCCTCAGCCCCACTCTTTGCCCTTTGAAAGCTTGGCTGCCCCCTCTTTGATGGTGGCCCTTGGTTACCTCTTGATGCAAGCTTCTTGTGCATATGACGTTCCTGCTCTGACTTCCCCAAGCCAGGCTCCACACACAGTCTGCCCTATTCCCATCCCAGGAAGCAGGCAAAGCTCGTTTAAAAATCCAAGAGTGTTAGCCTGTGTTCAACCAGAGAAGTAGAACCCATAGTAAAAAGGGTAAAAATACACAGAAGAATAGGGGATCAAGGGATTGTTAGAGGAAGGAGCCCCACACAATTGAGGGAGCTGGTTAAGTAGTCTCTGTGAGTATGTGGTCTCCATGTCTGATGCTGGAACTTCAAGTCCATAGGACAGGGAATCAGGAAGAGAAGATGGATGTCAAGGACGGGGTAGAAGCCACAGAGGGGGCTGGTGCTCCAGAGGATGGTCTGAAACCATGTCAGTTCTTGTTGCCTCTGACCCTGTGGTATGTCTGCAGAAGCTGAGTTGAAGATATGGAGCTGGGAGTACAATGAGCAAATACTCTTAAAGCTCAGAGGGCAGAGAATCAGAAGAGAACTGCATAGATAGGGCTCTGATGATCGGCAGAAGGTCCGCCTTGAGTTTTTCAGTGGGAAACTGATCAGTGCAAGCATGTGAGGAAATCACCCAAGCCTAGTAAAACCACCCAAAAGGATTAGAAGGAGCAATCACTCAGCTCACATAGGATCAGGAATGGTTCCTATTCTCACAAAACAAAGTAAAAAAAAAAAAACCCTCATAATTCACAAGGCATCCAACAGAATACCCAAAAAAGGTTAGCTTTGCCTCAGTACTGGGGCAAAATCAGCCCCAATCTAATAGTGCCTGGTCCTACTTAACCAAACATAAATCTAAGACATGAAAGGGTGAAACTATTCCCAAGTAGTTTAACTGCACTCCAGAACAAAGCTCAAGCATATTTTCAGACATTACAAAATGTCTAGTACCAAACAAAGTAATACTCACAATCTCTGACATCCAATAAAAAATGATCAGGCATGCAAAGAAGCAGGAAAATATAACCTCCTCATAATTGAGGAGAAAAATCAGTCAATAGAAAGACACAGAAATGAAACAGATGATAGAATTAGTAGACAAAGGCATTAAAACAAGTATTAGAACCAATTTCTATATGTTCAAGGAGATAAAGGAAAGATGGACTGTGTTAATCAGACATATGGAAGATTATAAAAATTCAAATCAAGAATCTAGAGATGAAAGTTACAGTTTCAGATGAGAAATATACTGGATGGGATTAATAGAAGATTAGACATTTCAGAAGAAAGCATTAGTAAACTTGAAGACATAGCCTTAGAAACTGTCCAGAATGAAACTCAAAGCAGAAGAAAGCTAAAAATAAATAGAGCATCAATAAACTGTGAAGCAATTTCAAACAGCCTAATATATATGTAATTGAAGTTTTCAAAGAAGAAGGGAAGAGGGGGCAGAAAAAAGAAATAATGGCTGAAATATTTTCGAGTTTGATGAAAAGGATAATTCCACAGATCCAGGAAACTTCACAAATTCCAAGCAGCAGCTGCTCCATCACCACAACAAAAAACCGATATCAAGGTACATTATAATTAAATTGCTTAAAACCAAGGATAAAGAGAAAAATCCTAAAAGCAACCAGAGAAATTTCACTTACAGTCGTAGGACTCAAAGAATTGAAAGTAGAAATTCAAACAGTACTCACACACCTTTGTTTATAGCAGCGTTATTCACGAAAGCTAACAGATGAAAACAGCTTAGTTGTTTGACAGATGAATGGATAAGAAATGTGATATGTGCATCCAGGGGAATGTTATTCAATCATAAAAAGAAATGAAATTCTGAGACATGCTCCAGCATGGGTGAATTTTGAGGACATTAGTGAATAACAATGAGTGAAATCGACCAGACACAAAAGCACAAATATTATATGATCCCACTTATATGAAGTATCGAGAATAAGCAAATACACAGAGACAGAAAGCACAATAGAGGTTATTGGAGGTGTGGGAAAGGGGGGGGGGATGAAGAGTTACTGTTTAATGGGTACAGAGTTTCTATTTGGAATGATGAAGAAATTCTGGGACATGGATAGTGGAGATGATTGCACAAGACCGTGAATATATTTAATGCCACTGAATTTTTACTTAAAAATGGTTAAAATGGTAAATTTTATGTTCTGTAAATTTTATCACAATAAAGACAGAGCACTCAGAGAAGGCAAAACTGTAGAAACATTAAAAAGGTCGATCATTGCCCGAGGCTCGGAGGCAGGCAGGGAGGGAGGAATGAGTAGATGAACTACAGGAGATTTTTAGGGTGGTAAACCCATTCTTTATGGTATGGTAATGGATATTATGCATCTGTGAAAACCCATAGAACTATACAACACAAAAAAATAAACCCTTATATAAACTAAGGACTTTAGTTAATGATGTGTCAACATTGGTTTATTAATGGTAACAAATGTACCATACTAAGGCAAGATGTTAAAAATAGAGAAAACTGTATGGGAAGAGGGAAGGTATATGGGAACACTCTATGTTTTCCTCTCAACTTTTATCTAAATTAAACTGTTGTAAAAAGTAAAGTCTACTCATAAAAATAAAAAATAAACAATGAGCAGGCAGAGAAAGAAACGTATACGAAGAAACAATTTAAGAAGGACAGCAGACCTCTCCTAGGAAGCAATGCAACCCAGGGGATAGTGGAGGAAGGCACCACCAGAAAAAACTACCAGCTTGGAATTCTTTACCAAGCTCAATACTGTTCAAAACTGAACATGAAATAACAGCTTTTTATTTATAAAAAAAATGCTCTCAGAATTTATCACCAGCAGACACACACCGCAAGAAATGTTAAAGGAAATCTTTCAGGCAGAATGAAAGTGATGCCAGATGGAAGTGTCGATCACACAAAGTGAATGAAGAAGAAAGGAAACGGGAACTACGTGGATAAATGTGAAGGTATCTGGGTGCTGCCGATTCCTGAGTTTTGGGGGGGCCCTCTGCAATGTTAAACAGGTTAAACATGGTTAGGGTTTAACCTGTTTAGGGGCCATTTATGTCTTCAGGCCATTATGACAGACCATTTGCTTTCCTGATTCCAAAATTTTCAACGTTTGTCACCTCTCCCATTGTTTCGGCCATTTCCCCCAGAACTGGTGTGCATATCCCATCTGGTGTTGTGTATCAGAAACAGATGAAATATACATATAACGTTCAAATATCAAAAACAAATAAACAGAGCATCGGTGAGCTGTGGGGCAATTCTTCCTTCAAGTTCCATGTCCCTTGGTTAAAGTATATTACCAGTGTGACTTCCCTTCAAATTCATTCTTGTCACTGCTATATAAATTTCCCATCAGGTCTGGAAGGGGTTGATGAACCGTTTTCCATCATAATTCAACTTTGAATCACTTATTTAATAAGAATACTCACATTTGTGAGACATGCAGGTGTTTTAGACTGAAAATGTGATATCATGAAGTTATTAGAAGCAGTAGGAAGTTGTGTGGGGCACCAGGAAGAAGTCTTTCTGGTTCTGGGACGGTTGGTGCTCCGGAGTTCTGGGTTCTAATTCCAGTTTTCTCAATACTAGCCGTCTGTCTTTGGTTAACTGACATGGCTTATCTGGATCTCACGGTCTTCATCTGTATTTTTTTTTTAATTTTTTTTCAACGTTTATTTATTTTTGGGACAGAGAGAGACAGAGCATGAACGGGGGAGGGGCAGAGAGAGAGGGAGACACAGAATCGGAAGCAGGCTCCAGGCTCTGAGCCATCAGCCCAGAGCCCGACGTGGGGCTCGAACTCGAGGACCGCGAGATCGCGACCTGAGCTGAAGTCGGACGCTCAACCGACTGAGCCACCCAGGCGCCCCTCTTCATCTGTATTTTAATGATGGGGTTGGGTTTGGGGGGATTTAAGCATTTTATTTTTCTCTAAAAGCATTTTCTGTGTATTCTGGCACAGTGAAGTCAAATCTCATTTTTCTCATCCAGTTATAGAATAAAAATAAACTCTGAGCACTTCGTGGCATTTCATGCAGTTACTGATCATTACCATGTCCAAGGAATCTGTTGCCTTCCACTCCACCTGTGACCTGAGATCAGGGAGTAGATATTGGGTATAGTGGTCCAGGCGTAAGATTTAGGCATCTTTGAAGAATGGGATCAGCAAAGAGGGCCCTGGATCAGAGCTGCCCAGAAAACAAAAGTTAGGTTAGGCATGGGGGGACACAACAGGGATCCGCTGACTGGTACCAGACCAGAAGAAACAGGGTAAGGCCCTGGTTTATAAGGAGCAGGGGAGTCACACATCACTATCATGGGATAGCAGCGTGGCCTGATCAGACAAGTTCTGATACAGGGGCATGCTGGCTTACAGTGTGGGGGGAGGGGGGCAGGAGATACCCTCTGAAGTGTTGACACAAAGATTGTGTCAGTTTCAGAGATAGGACTCTTGGCCATTATGGGACTGATCAAAGTAGGGCTAATAAGAAAGGAATTCTGGAGAAGGTAATTTTGAATCAGCCACCCGACTTCTCAGCATCTTTTAAGATTAAGAAGTTGCATTTATTTAGTGCCGGCCCTGTTCTAAGCACTTTGCATATATTTACCTATTCAGTTACGATGGCGTGATGGTATTTCACACAGTAGGGAACTGGAACATAAAGAGCTAAAGTAATTCACCAAAGTTTAGACAGTGGCTTTGCTGCGAGTCAAAGCCAGGCTGTCTTGTCTTTAAATCCCAAGCTTCTAGCCACTATGCTACTTCAATAAAATTAAACTTACTAATCAGTTTTGGAAGACAAGGTAATATGCTTGACTTTATTAAAGCTACCAAATAGATTTAGTAGAGTTTTATATAATTTTTCAGTAGTTTTCCAGAGACCAAGGCAATATTGTCTTTGTCCACGAGAGGGCGCGTCCAGCATAATCTCTGTGCTCCAGGTTCCAACAGATTATCTGCTGATGTCAGTGGCCAGCCTCACACAGCTGTCCATCTTTGACAAAATTCGACGGTGTTCAAAGCACACACAAAGGAATTGTTACTTCCAAATGGTGTGCAGATACGAGGGGCACTAAAACCGAAGGAGTTCCGTTTGTGGCTTTCCTCAAGGAGAGGAAACTGGGCAGAGAAGGACATGTAAGTCTAACTCATGGTGGTGGTTCTTGTGTCCTATGAGAGTGGGTTCCAAAATGATAGCCTAAATCAGCTGTCCTGCAGGCACAAACCAGGCCAGGATGATGGAGCACGCGGGGCAGGCCAGGCAGGGGTTTCCCTGAAGGAGAAAAATGCCAGGACATGTTTGGGGCTAAGGGAACACTGACCAAGACCTCTCAGTTGCTAATTAATAATATCAACCCTTAAAGCCCATGCAGGGTCTTGGGTAAGGAAGAAGTTTCCTGTGATAGGCCAAAAAGGGAGAGATCTGTTAGGGTTGCCCTGGTCTGTTGGAGATAGTTGAGGAAGCCACAGATGGACTATTCTGTTGGAGTTTTCTTTTCTTTTCTTTTTTTAAAGTTTTTATTTATGTATTTATTTAGAGAGATAGAGAGAAAGCAGGGGAGGAGCAGAGAGAAAGGGAGAGAGAGAATCCCAAGCAGGCTCTGCACTGTCATCTTAGGGCCCGATGTGGGGCTTGAACTCACGAACTGTGAGATCATGACCTGAGTGGAAACCAAGAGTCGGACGCTTAGCCAACTGAGCCACCCAGGCGCCCCTGTTGGCTTTTTCTTCATGTATGTGCATGTATGTGACTTTATCATCACTGGGCAAGTGGTCTGTGAGAAATGTGCTACACTGATATTAGGGAAACACGAAAGTGGGAATTTTCAATATGATAAGCATCACACACACACACACACACACACACACACGAGGGTAGCTCAACAAGGACACCTTTTCTGATAATTTTTTATGGTATTGACTAACACTTTATAGGACTGAGTGTATTTTAACCAGAGAAAATGGATAGTAAGGCATCTTAGAAAAACTTGAGGGGCGCCTGGGTGGCTCGGTTGGTTGTGCATCCGACTTCGGCTCAGGTCATGATCTCGCAGTTTGTGAGTTCGAGCCCCGCATCGGGCTCTGTGCTGATACCTGGGAGCCTGGAGCCTGCTTCAGATTCTGTGTCTCCCTCGCTCTCTGCCCCTCCCCCACTTGTGCTCTGTCTCTCTCTGTCTCTCAAAAATGGATAAATGTAAAAACAATTTTTTTTAATTAAAAAAAAAAAAAGAAAAACTTGAAAATCCCAGTGCATACTTTCAAAAACTCTTGGGATTCCAAGGGAGCTGAAAAGACATGTTCTCCCACCATTTAAAAATAATTTTTTTAATTTTTATTTATTTTTGAGAGAGAGAGAGAGACAGAGTGCGAAGGGGGGAGGAAGAGAGAGAGAGAGAGAGAGAGAGAGAGGGAGACACAGAACCCGAAGCAGGCTCCAGGCTCTAAGATGTCAGCATGGAGCCCGACGTGGGACTCAAACTCACAAACTGCAAGTTCATGACCTGAGCCGAAGTCAGACGCTCGACCGACTGAGCCACCCAGGCACCTCACCGCCTCTTTTTGATGCTTGAATCTTCTCTGCAGCAACAGCCTCCAAGAGTATTCAGGCTTATGTTTGAAAGTCATAGTGGTGGACATACCTACGAAAGGATCTGCTTCCATTTTGGGTAACTCTGGCCATTGAAAAGTAAAGTCACCTTTCCTCTCTACTCACTAACCTCAGATTTTTAATAGTTGCTGCTAGTATTTATTGAATTTGGAGCTGGTTATCCTCTTGTTTACCCCCTTAATGTATCTCTATGGGCGTATCCGTTTACTAAGGCTGCCATAATAAAATAGCACCGACTGGGTGGCTTAAAAACTTATTTTCCCACAGTCCTGGAGGCTGGAAGTCCAAATGAACGCCTGGCTGGTTCAGTTTTGGTTTCTGGTGACAGTTCTCAGATTTTAGATGGCTGCCCTCTTGCTTTGTCCTCACACGGCCTTTCCTTAGTTTGTGTGCCGGTGGAGGGGTGGGGGGGGGGGGGGGGAGAGTGCTGTCTGGCGTCTCTTCTCGGAAGGACACTGATCCTCTGGGATCAGGACCCCACCTTTACGACCTCATTTAACTTTAATGCCTTTTTCAGTGGCCCCATCTCTAAATACCGCCATCTTGGAGGTGGCGGCTTCAACGACTAACTTTGGGTGGTGGGGCAAACATTCCAAAACAGTAGAGTCTGTAGCAATGGGGTAAACATTGGTATCCTCGTTTCACCGAGAAAGGGTATCTGAGGAACAGCCCTGTCTAGTAACGAAATGTGCATTTTTCTGGTGTAAGGTCAAAGGAGGAGGGGCCGTGGTCATGGTAATCGAAGACTCAGTGTATGAATTTGCTAGGGCTGCCCTAACGAACGCGATAGATGGGGTGTCTTAAGGAAGACGTTTATTTTCTCATAGTTCTGGAGAAGAGATAGCCAATACTGAAGGGGCAAGGTTCCTTCTGAGGTTTCCCTCCTTGGCTTACAGATGGCTGTGTTCTCCCTGTGTCATCACATGGTCTTCCGCCTGTGTGTGCACTCTTTTTATTAGGACACCAGTCACACCGCGCGAGGGCCCCCACCCTCACGGTCTTCATTTAACCTTAATCACCTCTTTAAAGACCTGATCTACAAGTAGATCACATCCTGAGGGGCTGGAGGTTAGGGATTCAACAGCTGCGTTTTGGAGGGGACACGATTCAGCCAAGAACAGCCAGGGTGCCGTCCATTCGTCCCAACAGAGGGCGCTAACGCCTGCAATGCCGCTTCCAGGATGCTTCAGGCCAGGACATCAGTCTCCCTTGCAGAATGCTTCCGGAAGCACAGCTGGTTCCTCCTGGGTGTACCGCGGTTTACTGTGCACCCCATCCATTTCCAAATGTCAGGGCACGTAAAAGAGAGTGGCACTTTTAATGTAATAAAATATTGTGCTCTTTTTGGACCCTGGGATTGTTTTCTGTGACCAGGAAACCTTTTTTTTTTTGTTTCCTCTATTAGATAGCATCTCTATGAGTATTCTATTTGCTTTTTCTCCTAGCACTTGGTTTCTATCCCCGCCCATCTGGAAATTACCAGTGAGTTACATAAATTGGTCTCCCTACCTATCATTACACATAGGAGGAGCTTGTCCTGGTACACAGGGTACACACTGTCCCCTGAAAGTGTGAAAGGGCACAGAGTTATGAAACCAAATTATACAAGGACTTTAGAAATATTTGGAGGAAGATAC